TTTCAGCTAAAAATAAACTAATTTAAAATATCACCCAATCTTTATAATAAAGTTATATATATATGAGATTTATTTTCATAGTGTATAATAACATTAGGATTCAACTATATCATACATAGTGATTATTTTCAAACAAAACAACAATTATGATATAAACTTTTCATATATATTTACTTTGTATAGAATTATTACTACGATATATTTAACATAGAAAACTTATATATAGTACTGTTATTCTTAAGTTATTTTCATGAAAGTCTATACAGAATATACAATTCTAATCTATATTTATAATAATAATACTGGAAATCAGTTTTGTAAACAATTATTTAAGATCATGAGTAAGTTGAAGCTAGACCACTATGGAAAACCTGGAAGCAGTGGACGGACATTTCGTCCTATCGTGGGACTCCTCTGCGATGCGCATCCACGACCTCACCTCCTGAAAGATTCGAACACAGGACCTATCAGTCTGACGCACGAGCGCTTAACCACTAGACCACTGAACTGGCCCGCATCCAACGATGTTAATATTTAATTTCAACTAATCCATGAAATCGAGCGATACATCCACCATTGTCTTCAGTGAGTTACTATCTCACAACAGACTCCATTAGTCACTAATTCTCACTAGAACTCTAGGATATACCTCTTGAATTCAGTCACTAGTGAGTATATGTTGATTAATATCAGAAGGAGTTTTGTGTATATTATAGTAATTTCAATAATTAAGATCATGAGTCAGTTGAAGCTAAATCAACACCATGGAAAACTTGGAAGAGCTGGTCGACCGTTTCGTTCTATTGTGGGACTCCTCAGAAGTGCGTACCCATGATCCCGCCTAGCAAGATTCGAACTCAGGAACTGTTGGTTTTGCGTGCGGTCTATCTTCAACTGACTCATGATCTCAACTAATGAAATTATTTATTTATAAGAAAAGTATAGTTTATGCAAAGTAAAATTTCTCAGTAAGAAAATAAATATAAACACTATAAGGTTAATGTTAGAATGAGAAAATCACCGTACAAAGAAGGCTTATAAATTAAATTAATAATAGATATAGATAAAGCTTACTTATTTGAGTAGGAATCAATCTATTTACTGTGCGCTACTTATGCGGATAGACATAAGGAGTATGTAACAGGAAATGAAAGTAAAATGTTTACCAGCAGAAGTATAGAATAAAGAGAAGAGGAAGGAAAGGAAAGAGCAATTAAGATAACAATAGGATAGGAAGGATAACGAAGTAGGTAGAGGACAATTAAATAAAGATATACAAATGCTGTATTTCATGAATAATTTTCTTATTTTACAAAGCTTTTATTTAATGTTTCACTGGTTTGTCGTACTTAAATTCTCGTTCTCCACGATACTTTAACAATTCATACTTAGTCTATTACTGCTGTTATTACTGGTACTAAGGAAAATGTTAATAATAACTTATGATCATTAGTCTGTGGTTCTTAACAGATTGACAAACTCAGTTAAGATTAAAACATCATCAAATATATCCTTAACCGTTAGTTTATAGCTTTAAGAATTAATGCTATTTCATTACCTACCTAGCCTTACTGAAGTCATTATCGAATGATCAGTATTTTTTCTCACAATTTCGGTAGATTGTATTCCATAAATAAACCTACAAATGAAGTAAGTTTATTCGATAAAAACGCAATAGACTATCTATTGCATACAAAATGTGAAAGAATATTTATTCTCTTTTGTTGGTTTATATTAGTTGTTTCACAGATTGAAATCATGAGTCAGTTGAAGCTAACACCGTTGGATGCCGGCTCAGTGGTCTAATGGTTAAGTGCTCGCGCGCGAAGCCAGTAGGTCCTGGGTTCGAGCCCCGGGTGGTGCGGGGTCGTGGATGCGCACTGCTGAGGAGTCCCATACTAGGACGAAACGGCCGTCCAGTGCTTCCAGGTTTTCAATGGTGGTCTAGCTTCAACTGACTCATGATTTCAATCTGTGAAATTTCTAAAATCTCCACAAAACCCATTCTGATAATTATATTAGTTGATTATTCATCCAAAGGTTGTTTCTATCTAAAGATTTGTATATGTCAACTTATAGAAGGAATATGTGAAAACGTGATGTTTATTCATGTAACATAAAAATCGATTAGTCTAATGATACAAAGATTTACTTTATATAGAAATAATAATCAAAGTATGACGAAATAGAGTAAAGTAATTCATTGATTTGAATGATAATTAACTGATTTATTGAAAATTAGTTTTTATTAGAATTTGACATCATCTAGAGGATAAGTTTTAGATTAAAGATGAATGAGATATTGTCTAGAGTTTTTGTGTTGCATGTAATCTCATCTAAGTAGTCTAGATTTTTGGTTGTTCCATGATAATCACGCACAAAGTAATTTGAATAATGTAATATCAAGAACATTAACCTTAATGATCATCCAATGCCTAATCAAAGTTCATTAGCAGCAAAAGTGAAAGAACTAAGTATTTTTACCCCAACTATACCGGCATTCATTAACCATGAAGCAGCAATCTACTCCATTGACAGGTAGGTTGTATGGTAGTATATATCACTGAAAGATGTGCTAATGGAGCATAACAAATTTTCACACGTTCTCTACTTGAACATTATTGTCGAGTCAAAGCTTATAGAGAAATATAGTCAGATTTGATAACATCCACTGATGTTCTTTGAGGTTGTACATTCCCTCCGTTCTTTATTTGACTTGTTATAAGCATTCTTTAAAAGGTAGCGCTTTCTCCCTTTAACTATTAAGCATTTCGGACTAGGAGTATTACTTCGTACCCTTGAATATATAGATGATATATTTCTATGTGGTGAAGTTTCTAACAAGATTTAGAGGCTTCTAATCTATTCGATCAACAATAAAAGGATGTTTGAAATGCGTCTCTCTCGTCTATGTCTAAACCGGTTGCAGAGAGGGAAGTATTTAGATAGGCCTATCACGCCTCGAATCTTGAAAATCTCATCAGCCCTAGTGAGTTTGCATCTGATGAGATTTTAGCAAGGATTTGGGAAGCTTGATTGGCTTTTACCAACGTACGTCATTTATGGAGTAGGTGAGATGTCCATTTGTTAAATGTGATAGAAGTGACGTGAGTATAGATTTCATTAGGAACGCCACTTCCCCTGAGATTCTGGATACGAATTGCTGATGGTACCAACTGTTACAACTTAGATCATAGGCTCCCTGCAGACTGCCTCCAGCAGTGTGACAGAAAACAATGTGCACTACATCGCTTATTCATCGGAATATGGCTGGTCGTACAGCCAAAGGAAATATCATTACTCCATGTTCTATGGTCAGTCAGTGTATGTGTAGCTATATTAAGTCCATAATTGTTTAAGTTTAGCTAATTTCTAACTCCAACTGAGCATATGAAGACCTTACTATGTGATATGAATTGAATTTATCTGTAGGGCCAGGTAAATTGGACTCTTACAGAATTTGAAAATAAAGAATATTCTAGAGAATAAAGAAATATTATTCAACTTTGGATATTTTATAAGGCTCTTTATAATACTCTACTAAATGGTCTAAGATCCGTAATGTTGTTATTGATAGCTAATGAGAATGTATAATGCACTATGAAATATAAAGTAACAATCAGAAATCATAGCAGATTTTATCACGCTGTTCGCTTAAGTCAATATAAATTTTGAAATTCAAAATTATTGGAGGTATTATTCTGAAATACGAAGATACGTTGCAGACGTAAACTAACGAGAATGTAAATCTTTACTATATAATTCCACAGTTAGTACATTTACGTTATCTGGTAAGAGACCTAGCTCCAACTTAGAAATTATACTTCTTTTAAATTTTATACGAAACGACCTAAATGACCTATGAACTACTACGATTATATATATTTTTATATATATGGAGACAATGATAGAACTTAAGTCAAAGATAATCAATCGAGATCATAATCAACAGAACAAGCTGACAGTTACATATAGCGTAATTCGAATTGATTACTCTTACCTGAAGTTTGTGTTAGTGACGTTTTCCAGAAAGATAATCAAAGCTTTACGATTAAAGCGCACAGTTCAAGAAATAGAACTCCACCAAAACTTTTTTAGAAAAACATTAAATGTTTATTATCATACAAACAATATTATTTGATTTCATGCTAATGAACGCATTTAATTACCTAATTTCAAAATTCGTTTACATATTGATTATTTTGGAACAAAAACATTAACATTCTTGAATTACTGTCTGCTAATTTTTGATTGAGATCATGAAACGATTGACTTTAGAGCACTATTGAAAACCTGGAAGCACTTGACATTCCTTTCGTCCTATTATAGGACTCCTCAACAATGTGTACCCATGATCCCGACCACGAGATTTGAACCTAGGGCTCTCAGTTTTGCATGCGAAAGCTTGACCTTTAGACCAATGAGCTGATATTCAACGATATTAATGTCTAACCTCAACCAAACCATAAAATTGCGCAACCAGGTTTTCAATAGTGAACTAACATCCATCAGTTCATGATCTTAATCAAAAACTTAATAACCTCCACAATCACATAATAATAATCACAATTGATTGATCACTGGGTGGTGATCAATATCATGTGTGGAGGTAGTCCTCCAACCATCATCTAATCTCAATATATAGTGCACGTAGTGTCGAGTCACCTAGACTGGTGGCCATATTGCAACATGGTCGACAGCATTCGATCTGCACTAAATAAGAACTTGGTACACATGACAATGATCACCACCCAGTGGTCAATCAGTTGTAACTACATCTCAGTCCTACAGGAGGTTGGTCACGGCTCGAATAACTCACTGTTAACATCTCTGACTGTGAAGCTGAGTAACATGGGATCGAATCCGTCAGGGAGAACCAGTTCCCTCAAGATTACAGGTACACCTTGTTGACGAGTGTCAAGTAGCACAAAACCCTGGTCCAGGGTTTCCTGTCGATTACCTCCAACCACCACCTAATCCTCATAACAATAATAATCTCTATTTATTGTAATTTATTTGAAATAAATATAAACAATATCTTTATTTATATAAAGAGCTGAAAAAAACCGCCAAAATAAATAAATAAAAAGATCATACATATATTCATTATAATTAAAACAAAAAAAACTAATCTTGAACAATGTACAAAAGATAAATGAAGTAAAATTTAAAGAAAAAGAAAAAAGGAGAAAAGAAAAGAAAAAAACAAAAAAACAAATAAAAGTTAAAATTCATTTGAATATTTATCTAAATGTTTTAAATAAATAAAATTAATTATTCACAAAGCATATATTTTTTAAATTCTTCATATTCAATTGTTCCATTATTATCACGATCACAATATTTAAATGCTTTTTCTATATCTTTACGACTAATTAATCCATTATATTTATCCATATATTTTTTAAATTCATTTTTATCAATTTTTCCATTATGATTGATATCAACTTGAGTGAAGATATACCACCAAAATTGATCACTATAATAATAATAAAGAGAAATGAAATAAAAATTTTGAGATTAGTTTTAATGATCATTTAATTAGTAGTAGATCTCTTTTCATATTAATTACTAAAATGATCTATGTTGATAAGAAAAATGTGTAGTGAAGTAGAACAGAGGTGAGAATAATCGAATGACATATAACACAAATTTATAAAGGTACTTGGTAAAATAGAGAAAAAAAACTATACTCTAATACTAAATTTGCAAAATGTTCATTAATTGTCTCAGACTTCTATGTTCTGGCATTAACATACCAATGACTTTCTATTCTTGTTCTTTTCTTCTTGATCTTCTCAATCTTATACTGTTAAACATTAGATTCTTGACTCGCTTTATATACTACTTATGTCAATATAGGTAGAAAACAACACAGGTGTACCTAGTTGAATAGAGATATAATATCATACAATTATCATTCTTATGATTAGCTGAATATTTTCTGTTTTAAACTAATCTATATATTTTCAGAGTGGTAATTTACAATCTAAAACAAAACCAATAGGAGAAGAAGATTTCACATAATTTGATAATCAATAAATCAAGATAAACAGAAAATGTAATATTGTACTGTCGAGTGTATTTTGCTACTACAATTTGTAAAGAAGTCAATTGTTAGGAAGAATTTCAGTTTAAGTGAATGTTAAATAAAACCAACTGAATATAACTAAGAGGTATCATTAATTTAATTTTTTTTAAACGGGAATTGAAAGAAAGTAACATTATGACAGTATATTATAGAGTGATTTTCACTTAAAATGTGTATCTATTGAAACATAGTGATTTTTCTGTTAGGGATCCATTTATGGACCAATAATATGCGTATATTTTTATCATATAATTGTTAAATAACTAAACCGTTCATATTCATACCCCTCTTATTATGAGCTTTATTTTGATCTATGAACTATTATTATACCATTTACCATTCTTGAATTATGCCCAGTCTATCAATTAGTACCTCCTTCATTCACAGCTACATTTGACTAATTTTTGTACAAATGTTGTTTCATATTTTATTGGTATGTTGTGGTCTGTTTGATTGATATATATAAACCCAGTAGGCTTGAAATAAATTATTCATATCGCAGAGGCTGAGATTGGTGTTCTGGACTCAACTGGCTGGGCTAGGCAGGAAGCATGACCAATAAGGACTCTAGAGTGCTCGTACGAGTTTATTGAGTCATTGGTCCGATCGATAATTCACTACTCTCTGATTGGCGGTATCGTTACGTTATCCATTAACAGGGCACACAGGTCACTAGTTATGACATTTTCAAGGAAATTATAAATTATAATTTTGCAGTTCAATGATAATCTTGAATAAGTATGCAGTTGAGTAATTAAATAGTAGAATAAACGATTAAACCCATATATTCTTTTATCATTCCACTCTAGGTAATTGTCTAAACATATAATGAAAGTTCAGAAACGAAGTAATAAGTAGTCTAAGAATCTTGATCTTCTGATAAAACTTCAATGACAAAATGTTTCCTCACATTTTCTAAGTTTTAGTGTTTAAAATAAATTGGTGGTGATACATATTTTTATTTATTTATTCAACAACTAAGAATCATTAAGATACAATGTTAAAAGAAATTCTTGATCAACATGTCACTTACGATTTATTGTGAGTAATACTGATTTACTACATAATCATAATATATGATTTCAATTTCTTTTTTTTTAGTTCTTTTAAATGAGAATCACTTATGATTTGATACAAAAGTCTTCTTACATGAAGTTAACACTCAACTTAACTAGATGTTATAATGTTTAGTTGAACTATGAAAAAAAGTGTTACATAGTTTTATTTGTATTTAAGTAATTAAAATACCTATGAATTTAAAATAAACTAATGTGTTAGCCTGAATTAGTTGACATGAAAGATAGAGGTGTTAACATTCAACTATTTCTGCTAAGAATATGAAATCTTAAATAATACCTTTTAAGAATTAAATTTCCCAGCTGAAGAAGAAATCAGGAAAAGACGATGGAAATGGATAGGACATACATTACACAAATCGTCAAACTGCATCATGAGACAAGCCCTAATTTGGAATCCTGAAGAAAAGCGTAAAAGAGGAAGGCCTAAGAACACATTACGTCGGGAAATAGAAGTAGATATGAAAAGGATGAATAGGAACTGGAAGGAGCTGGAAAGGATTTCCCAAGACAGGATTGGATGGCGAATGCTTATGAGCGGCCTATGTTCCTTCACGAGGAGTAACAGGAGTAAATTGGGAAATTGGAAGAATTAAATTAATACAATAAGGTTGAAATAATGTTACGGTGATACATCCAGTTTGACCACTTTTCATGGAATTCGAATACACTTTAACGATATTTATGTTAATCACATTTACTCATTCACGTTAATTCATATCAAAAAGGTTTTTGTAAATATGATAGTAATTTCGCTGGTTGACATCATTAATCAATTGAAGCCAAACTACCATGGAAAACCTGAAATCATTGAATGATCGTTTCGTCCTATTGTGAAACTCTTTATCAGTGCTCATCCACGATCCAGTGCTTCTAGGTTTTCCATGGTGATCTAGCTTCAATCGACTCATGATCTCAACCATTGAAATTTTTTTATTTGTAATATTTTGTGATTTATTTTAGACATTGATAGAAATATTTTACTTACCTATTAAGTTTTCGATTATAATCAACATGGAAAGCTTCCATTTGTATGATAACTTATGTAAATGTTGTTCAACTTTCAATGATTAACTCTTGAAACTTGGAACTTAAAAGTCTATTTGAAGATGTAAATCACCTATACGAATGTAATATCGTTTCAAAAAACTTTACATTCCCGTTAGTAACATTATTCCAATTATATACAGAATTCGTTAGTAGTTTATTGATTTTTTTTTTATTAATTAACTAACTTTAGAACAGTGTTACTAAAAATAGTTTTTATTTCAAATATACAGTTGAAAAACCAATAAGAGTAATTTGTTTTCCTTTCAAGTAACAATGATAAATCATTAGTTATCTTTAATTAACAATCACGTTACTTGTGTAGGTGAACGTGCATATCTTATAATTTTATTTTTCACAAATGACTAGTTATTCATCATGTTATTAAGTAAATAAAATTTTACAATTTCATAATTGAATTCATGAGTTGATTGAAGATAGATCACCATGGAACTTTTCAGCAGTACACATCCACGATCCCGCCTCGCGAGATTCGAACCTAGAACCTATCAGTCTTGCACGTGTTACAATTTCATTGAGTAATTATTATCCGTAATATTTTTAAATATTTCAACAAAGTTCCTTTCAGATGAACCCATTTCATGGTTCCAGTGTAACTTGGTTGTTTTGATTTTTGTAATCATATTTGTTAAGCAAATATGGATGGTAGCTATCAGCTGAATCCAAGACACGCGTTTCGTCCCATTTAGGTTTCGTCAGCCGGATGTGTCTGCATCCTAGATTTGATGTTTACTCCGAGACACGAACCTAGTTTTATTTGCTTCAAACGCCATCGTGTTATCCACTTAGCTACTGAGTACTGATAATCACTGGCTTGTGCAATCGCCTGAAGTTGTTTGTTTGAATCTTCCCATCAATATTTGATACTGCAATGGGAAGATTCAAACAAACAATAGAAAATGAATCATATTTGTTTAATTGTGATTAATTTACTTTAAACCTGATAAACGTTTAATTTAAATAACGTTCAGAGATTATCTTATACTTGTATCTACTAAATTTCTTTAGAAATGATTTATATCACTTCAATGTTGGATCAAGCCCAATGTTTTGATATTTTTTTATTTCATTAGAGCTAAAGATATAAATATGGTCAAACAAAACTGGTATGACTTGGTTTTCTGTCGCTATGTCTCCGGTCAGTTGGTGATAGATAATATACAACCAAACAGCTACATATCACGACTGAATTTGACATTATTACTTCAGTGCGTCGAATTGAAATTATTAAGATAAATACCGTAGTAGCAGTAAAAATAATATTGGTGACGGTAAAAATAGATTAAATAGACAATTTGATCCCAGAATTAAATATAAATTGACGAATAAAATGTATAAAATAATTTTGAAATTCGGGATCAACAGGTAAATGAAAATTGGTCATGATAATTTCGTGGACATCCTTAACAAACAATAGTCAAAGCTATCAACTTCACTTACTTATACTAGGTCTACATAGTGTACTTTTTATGTTTTCTGAATGTATTTGGTATGTACTTACGATAGTTAATCAATAACTTAAGGTTATGACTAGCTTAATTTGAAATTTTAAACCATTTTTCCACAAGTTTTTACTTTGACTTATGTCACCCACTATGATCAAGCAGGTTTTTCTGCTTTTATCACTCCGAGATAGATGTTGGAGAACACTGGTTACTATGGTACATCTTTGTTACTTTAAAGGGACACTTGGAGTTAAGTCTGTCATTTTTGGATTTCTAATGATTTTACCATCTGAAGCCTACGATACAGAATGAATACATGTGTTTCATGTTTCCCATCATCATTAATCAACTTTCTTCATTAGCTTGGTTTCATAATCATCAAACTTTCAAACTGCCAGATGCTTAAATGATGAAATAAAATTATTAAAGATTGGATCCTATCGAAATCTAGATGACTGATGAATTAAGTCACTGGAAAAATAAAAGACTATTGTTTAAAAGTTAGAGAGAACAGAATTTCCTAAACAATTCCAAGCTTACTTCAGATTAGATAACTCGCTAAAGCAGTCAATTATCCCAGTAAGTTTAAGTCCCAAAAGAACTGCTGCAGAATATTTGACAGTATCACCTGAACGAACTGTTATCTTTTACCTCAAAGTTTATTTGGTATGGAAATCATCAGTCTTGAAACTATTAACTTATTCTTAAGCACAACTATAATAATCACTGAACTTTGTCGAGTTGGATGTCATCCTCATGATATATGTTTGAGCTCTATTCATTCAGTGGTTCGAATATACCTATTTTTGCGGTACAATGAAATTGTAAAATTGGTAAAAATGTAAAATATCTTCAATATTTTAAAATGATAAATATATGGAAGTTGTTTGGCACAAAATATCTGTAAGGTCTATAAAAATAAAATACACTAACTATTACGAATGAATTTCAATATAGGGGTTCAAACTAACAGTTTTTTTAATGCAAACGTGACAGCTACTAGGTTTTATACCCCCAATAGAATCAAGATTCTACCTCAATGAACAATTAGAGAAAATGTCCAAGTTTTTATTCACTTCTAGTTATTTCTAATCTAATAGTTTATAAAACTAAGTTTCATTTTCAAATCGATTTAACACGTCATTGTATTCATGTTGCATTATGCAAAATCAATTTAAGAAACCCATATTTTTGAAACAAAACTTTCAATGTATTGACTATTGAAAGTATCCTGGTTGATTTTTTACTGTGATTGAATAATATCACACATTAATTCAAAAAAAAAACAACCTGTAACCTACTAATTTAGTGGGTAAACAAAATGACTAAAAGAGTAAATAACTGAAATTTACATTCGTTCAGTTTGTAGGTGTCGAATGGAATAAGATATTCATTATAAATTTTATCAACAATTGTTACCGAATATCATAAATGTTCATTAGCATTGCCTTAGTTACTCAGCATTTAATTATTATCATAAACTAAAATGAACTAAAAGAGAAACAGTGAATACCAGTGAATAATTAACAAGAGTATTTTCATGTTCTAAAAAAAACGTCACAGTGTTTACTCTTAGATTCATAAGAACCATGAACCATGAACCGTGGAATTTAAGAAACCGTAAGTTAAGTTTGACTCACTGAGCTAAAATGCAGTGGTTCATGTTTTTGAAATTACGTCGATTCGCTACATGCGACTACTGTTATCCGGTTGGTGTCATTTCATAAATTGCATAGTATCTCAATTCGACTTCCAAGAAACTCAAAAACCCTACATTTCTATCCGTAAAGTGTTCCAAAAACATTGATTTAAAAAAATTCGTATTTCTCTTTACTTCAAGACTTTTGACTTAGATTGTGTGATTTTTAAGTGACAAACGTCATCTATTTTCTTGTAATTTTTAGAAGATTGCATGCGATCAGATGAAAACAATTGTACCTCATTAAATATCATTAGATTGTACTCGATCTTTCTATATTTTAGGTGTTTATGGATGTCATATTTTGTGATTTCTGCTTTATTAAAATATCATTTACCGTCATTACTCTAGCTACAACAAATTCCCTTGAGGCTATCTGCAGATTCCCTCATCTCCTATTTAAAGTCTATATTTTCTCTGGTAATAAACAAAACAAGCATTCAACAAAATGGCTGGACAAATCGTAGCCCAGTTCAGTTCATTGTAGAATAGATTTAATCCACATGAGCATTTGTTCACTTCGGTGTAAGACTGTTTGGCAAAAACAGTCTTGGTTCTTCATATATTTAGTAAAAAAAAAACGGTTCTTGATTAGATTAAAATCAAATATCAACGTCAGTGTTTGTTTTGTATAGCCTTAACAGTTCTTAATATCTTAATAATAACGTTGTCACTAATAGCAAACTAAAAAGACTGTAGATTTTTAGTTTTATTCACAAACAGATCTTAGCTAGACAACCACTAAATACCAGAATTCACCGAACAGGTATTTCTTCTTGGTATGGAATTTGTAACAAGCCTCCTACAATTAATTTTGTTTATGTTTAATTCAATCAAGCCCTTTAACTAATTATTTAACAGCCGGTGTTGTATTATTTGTATTGCTATCTTGTCTGTATGATCATGTGTGCATGAGCACATGTTACAGCCTATGCATACAACTATCTGTTTCTGTAGCTTAAATGTAAATCGCCTAAGTATAGCTAAATGAATCATTCGCCTTCCCATATAACAAACTGTACTCAGCGCTTCCTACTGCCATTTGAATTTATACACCGTTGAGATTTACATAATAACGGTTATCAGGGTGATCGCTATAAATGAAGCCTAAGGAATTATCTCAAATCCAAGTCACTACAAACGTTTTAGCAGTAAATAGGTTAATCGTGTACAACATTAGACCCCAGCTTAGTGCTCTAAAGCTTAAAGGTCTGCACATGAAAACAAAGACCTACAGCTCGACTTCCTCTGTGGTTTCAGATGCTTAGTGCTAAAGAGTTGCATACCTGGAAGAAACACCTACACAGTGCTATCAGGTTTTCAGTGTTAGTCTGCCTAACATCAGTTCATCATATAAATGATGTAAAGTAATAGCATCACTGAATGTCATGAAGTTTGTCCAAGTGTTGTCTACTCAGCACTAACCATGCAATATTCCAACAGATTTCTTTTTGATAGAAATTCAAAGTGCAATTACTAAAGAATATATTTTCAGTACTCTATTTCGACCTCGTGACCGTTATTTGCGAAAAGTTTTGTTTAATATCTACCACTACTTGTTTTTCATTTGTTATATATTGGATCTTTCATACACATAGTTCCCTTTATCATTTTGAAAAGAGCAAGAACAAACATTCTAGCAGAATAGCATGAATTCATTTTTATTTCGTTGGTTCTCGTCAGCTGCTTACAACCTGTGATATTTAAAATCATAATTAATGGGTTTAAATTACTTACATAAAAGAGTTTGATTGGAAGTTATATTAAAGGCATATTCATATAGTATAGCAAGAGTGTAAATAAATTTAATAGGCTGAATATTGTAAATATATACCTTATGTAGAAGAACATTGTGACAACAGTTCAAACGGTTAGAAACAAATAATCCTTGATAGGAATAAAATGAGTAGAGTTCAGTTGATAAAATAAGATAGTTGGAATAA